TTTTTTTTTTTTTTTTTGCAGAAAAAAAATATTTGCTTATTGTTGTTAGACAATTTATTTATTTATTTATTAAGGATATTGACAATCAATCAATTAATCAATTTAATTTTTGAGTCTTGAATGTGTTTTTCCCTCAATTTTTTTATTTCCTTATGGGAATGTATAAAGATTCAGATTCATATTTGTCGGTTCGATGTTAGAACAGAACTGGTTTCCAACGGCCTTTGAATGGCTTTACTAATTATTTAACACACCTAGCCGAGGCATAAGGAATGAATATCAATGTAAAAGTGCCAAGAGGTTAACTAACCAACGTCACGAAAAGATATTATGTTTATTTTGCTTGCCTTGGTGTGGTCAAGATCGTCAACGCATAGATATTTTTGGGATTGTAGATTAAAAAATCGAAGAGGCTTGGCTCTGTTGAAGGTTTTAACTAACGCAAATGATGTTCTCAAACGGGTTCAATAAAAAGTCAAAGTTCCAAGCTTCTTTCAGCATACAAATAAAATGTTTATATACTAAGATCTAAGTTGTAGAAAAGCTATATGATTATTATGCATGACAATTATTGAGAAAGAGATAAGTGAAATTGTGTCTATATATATTATTTAATTCACAATGGATTTGAGTACGACTTCATAACCGGTAGTGGTCAGACTCTCTGGTACTTCTGCTCAAGAGATCTCAGTCAGTGGTCTGAGGCTCATGAAAACTTTCGAACGCAGTCAATTGACTGGCTGACAAAGAGGCCAGACGTTGCTCAATATGTTAATGTCAAATCAAAGACACGGCATTTGAATGCCACTTACGGAGGCAGAAGTCGATGCCGATGAGACGCTGCGGGTGGAGCTACGCACGTGCTGCGTTGCTCGGGCTGAAAACAAAGCGCAAGGCAACTGCCGGCACTTGACATTCACAATGAAAATGCAAGGCAAATGAAAGAGACTTACACACGCACACAGACACACACACACGTACACACACAGACACACGCAGAGATTCGCACTCGCGACAGCTTATCAGAGCGTTGGAGTAGCGCTTAATAATGCAAGTGGCCAATGCTGCGTATACGCAATGCGCCTTGACTGCAGCCAGCTTGACTGAGCTCAGTGTGAGCCCACAGGCGTGACTGTAGGCGTGCCGCAACTGCCGGGGTGTGGGTTAGTCTGTGCGTTGTCTGTGCCACGCCAACGTTGCATTCATAACGTGCATTCAGGGTTAAAAGTCGTGTTACGTCGCGTCGCGTTGCATGCAACGCCGAATGAGATAGCGCACGTGATGGGGTCGCCATAGAAATGCAGTTGCAGTTTGCAGTTGCATGTGTGCATCTGTGTGTGCGTGTGTGGGTGTGTTGCATCTTTTCGCGTAGGCAGACGAAGGGACGTGCAGTTTGCTTTAGCCATTTTCCACATGAAGCGTCACTTTAGACACCTCGCTGGCTTTGCTGGGCTTTCAGTAGCTTTGCTTTAGTTGCGGCGCCTAATTAGACACACCTGAGCCCACGGCGCCCACTGGCCTGCCGTGCAAATTGGTTAGTCACCTGCCACCTGGGTTGAATGACCCCCAATGCCACCCAGCTGAACCCCATAATCCCGCAAAAAAATGAAGGAGAAAAACTGAAAAAGTGCTTTAAGCAGCTTCGCCTACAACAATGCAAAAAACGTAGCTTGAGCGCTGCAAAAAAAGCAAGAAAATCAATTGCATAATGGCGCATGTGTTGCGCCGTGCAGCAGCAGCAGCAGCACCGGCAACAACAACAGCAATAATAATAACAGGACTAAATTGCAACTCTTTTTTTGTTGCTGTATTTCCATTTGCAGCGGCAGAGAAAATAACAAAAACAACAACAACAACAACAAAATCAACCACCAGGCGACGCCACTCGACTTGCAGCCAGAGTCAGTCAGAGATTTTTGTTGCTGCTGCCATATTTTTTTGTTGCTGTCGGAGACACACACATACTACCACACATTCAGAGATACTTGGGTCGACACATGTGTGTGACTGGCTGGCAGTCAGCCTTTGTTTGCACCCGCACAGGAAGCCATTTAAGTGCGGCTTCTTGAGAAAATTGCCGGCGCGACGGGCAGAGAGAGAGCTGAGACAAAAAGAGCCAAATAGATGGAGCGAGTAGGAGAGAGAGAGAGAGAGGACGATAGACACATAGATAACGAGAAGGAGTGTGGGAGAGTTCCATTGGATGGATGTGCCTAACGAGCGCGCTGCAGCCTTAATTATTAACAGCAGCAGCTGCAGCTGCAGGGCAGGGCGGGGCAGGGCACGCGGGCTGCAGGCTGAAAGAAAGGCAGATGGAGAGAGAGAGAGAGAGTGAGAGATGGGCATAGAGAAGCTAATGCCTGGCCAGAGCTTAACTTTGTTGCTGGCTATCATGTGCCGGCGCTGCTTGGAAACCCGCTCGGTGCTAAGCCGCTCAATTGTTGAGCGACTCGGGCGCCTTAATAGGCTTAGAATCGAGTCAACTATCAAAACAAGTCTGATAAAAGCACAAATACGCATGCACACATGCACTCACATGCACACACACACACATATGCATCGCATTTGATATGCTTGCGCTCCAGTTGCAGCGCAAACAGCTTTGTCAACGCATTCCAGATTCGCGTGTGTGTAGATGTGTCCCTGCTCTGTCTCAACTGCGTCTGCACTCTGTACTGTGTAGTAATACACAAACACACGCACACACACACACACACATTGCATACATTTGCATATGTGCGCCCGTCTGTCTGCTGCAGCGCCTCTTAGTATGCAATGCCCGTCGCAGTCGCCGTTACCGTTGCCGTTGCCGGCTCTTGACTTGTCCTCGGAGTCGTCCTCATTGTCTTTGTTTTATAATTTTCCTTTGATTAATTTCTTGTATTTTTTTATTTTCGGTCATATGCGCTAAACAATGCCTACGAGCAGCGCAGTCTGCAGTCTAAAGCAAATAAACAGGGTGCGCCAGCTAAGCAGATTTCTTATGGGTATTACTGTTATTTGCTTTTGAGCTTTGAAACATTTAATGATATTGTTCACACTCACTTCTTTGATATCATTGTCAATTCATCTCTTAATGTGGTCTTAGAGTTTCATTGAAATTAAATGAAATACAAAATTAAAAGTCATGAAAAAAGCAATAAACAAAAATAAATAAAAATTAAATATATGCACATACAATGTTTAGATTGCCAAAGGCGATGTGTAGTATTTTAACCACACACATATATTTATGTACATACATAGATACATGTATGTATATTTATTTTTATACGAGACACATTTATTGTGTTCAAATTGTACATAAAACTATTTAAATATAGTAAGGAAATATGTTTTTTGTATAAACAAAAATGAAAAGAATCCAAAATAAATGACCTACAATTTCAATTGGAATTTTATCCGAAATCTTTACTCCATACATAGAAAACGCGGCTTAATATCATAGTTAGTATAAGACATAGGTAATATGTACAAGAAAGACAGATTATTACTGTCCTTTTCTTTCACACTTCAGTTATTTTTCATTTAATACATGTAAACNTATATAAAATATAAAATAAATAAAAACATAAAAGAAAATTTAATGAAAGGTTTTATTCGAATTTAAAGCTTTTTTTCCAAGTTATATTCAAATATTTTTTGTATATTATATTTTATTTATGTTTATTTATAGTATACGAAAATTAATGGTTTAGTTAATATATATATTTATGATTTGAATACATAAAAAATATCTTAATTATTTAAATTTAAAAAACTCATATTTCCAAATAAATCTCTGCCTAGTATATTACTCTTCCAATAAACGATCAATTGATAATTAAGACATATGTAAATAAAATAAAATAAACGTGAAAGTAACATGAAAAATGAGTCAACAATAAATAGAAATAATGGCCCTATATGCATTGAGCATATCATATCTTAGCTTGATGCCGGCCAGCTTCCCTTGCTGCAAATGCTGAATATAACAACAATATCAAATGCAACAACAACAGCAACAACAACAATTGCTGCTGCTGGATATGGACTCCTCTGATGTTTATTTGCAGTCACTCCCATGTGTCGCCACCAGCGGCTGAGCGACACCGATGATGAGGCACAAAATGTGGCCAGGCGAAGTCAAAACTAAACTGCCAGCCCGACTGTCCCTCCGTCTGTCCGTTCGTCCGTCTGTCTGCCTAACTGCCTGTCTGTCTGTCTGCAACAAAAAAAAGAGAATTAAAAAAAAAACAAGCAGAAATGTTTGCAACAAACAGACAAATGAGGACGGCGGCGTTGACATGATAGCCGCCCGGGAGCCTGCGAGCGGCATCTGTCGGCGTCGCTGCCGCGCTGCCGCGTTGCATGTTGCAGACGATGTCGTCATTGCCGCGCTGCATGCGTTGCATTTTTTTTTGCTGTTTTTTCTTCCTCTTTTAGCTATATTTAAATACGCTGCGGGTTGCACTGTGCACAGCACTTCATTTGCTTCACAGCTCATTCATGTTTTGTGTCGAGCCTACGCCAGGCAGCAGGCAGCAGGCAGCAGGCAGCGAGGCTGCCAGCCAGACGTAGCTCTAAGCCGAGGTAAACACTGCTCGACAGTTGTCCGTCTCGCTTTGGCACATGCGACTGATGTGGCAGCTGCCTCACCTACATTCTGCACTTAGACATGCTGCCACATTGGCGGCGGTGGTGGCTGCTTCGCAAAAAAGTAAAAAACGGTGGAAAAAAACCTCCCCAGCTGCGACGCCGTAGCCGTCGCTGCTGCTGCTGCTGCTGCTGTTGCAGCTCCCTCGCGGCCTGCGTCTGGGCTCGGGATATCGCTTACAACAAACACTTGCAACGTTTGCAAAGCTTCTGCTCCGCCGCACGGTCGTTGGCCATGGCGGAGACGGAGGCGGAGGCAGAGGCAGAGGCGCTGGCGGCGACGTTAACGTTAACATTAACGTTAACGTTAACGGCAACGGCGACGGCGACGGCAACGTTAACGGCGGCCTTCCTTTCTCGAGAAGTTTGCCGAGCTCTACACTCGGTTGCATTTGCTGCATGTGGCATGGCCGTTGCCAGTACGTTCGCGTGCTTTGCATACTTTGGTTGCGTTTTTTGTTGCGCCACAGCCGCTGCTGCAGACGCCGCGCGCGTGATTTAACGGCATCGAGGACGTTGCGGGTTTTTGCCTGGCTTTATTTTGCAATTTCGGTTCTCATTCGCAATCAACGCGCTTTTTTCTCCCCCGATTGCCGATTCTCGATTCTCGGTTCCCGATCCCCAATACCCAATTGACGATTGGTCGCTTGTGTGGCGCCCCCGATTTCCGCCGGTGTTTTGGCCATTTGCGCGCCATTTTTTGCACGGCCATTTGAGGTGCGTTGAGGTGGCCAAGGCTAGCGCCATAAATCACATGGCATAATTGTGCATGTTGAACCAACAGTTTGGCTCACAGCTTGGCCAGCTAGTTAGCCAGAGACAGACGGACAACAAGTGGAAGCCTTTGATATTGGCGCTATAAGCCAAACGCAGGCCTAAAACAGATCAACAAAAAATAAACAAAAGCTGCTTAAAGCTAATGCGTCGATTGTGCATGGATTAGAGAGACCACCCAGAGCCGGCAATAGGATTTATTTATATATATAAATATCCATATATATTTAGCGGAGCAAATTGATTTCCAAACTAAATTGTAAGTATGGGGGAGGTGTGGGAGTAAATATAAAAATAAATAATTATAATTAAAATGAAAAAAGAAATAAAAACTTCGTTTAGTATGGGAGGTATTATAATTTATTTATATAGCAAATACTTATGCTTAAATGTATTTAGAAACCATGTATTTTACACAGAATTTATAAAACACTATTATCATTCAAATGTTTTTCAATAAATTCAAAAAATACTTATTGAAGTGTCAAATTATTTAGATAGAAATCTGAGATATAAAGAAAACCTAAAAAATTTAAAAGATAATAATTTTGTTCAAGTTTATCTATTAATATGTATATTATGCAGATTTTTTTAAATAGAATTGTAGTATATTCAATTTTATCTCTTAGTATGTATTTATTAAAAATACAATAAAATAGATTAGATATTTGAATTAGTATTTTGTTTTTAGGCTTTAACGCAAAGCGGAATATCTAGATCTAGAGAGCATACTGAGTTTACGGCGAGGGCATGAGTTGGCATATTTTGGTGTGAAATCATGAGTGCAAATAAGTTAAGATAGGAAAGACTTCCCATTAGAATTTCCAAGCTGCGGGTACTTAAAGAAAAAGTTTGAGCATAAGAAAAATGCAAAATGTGCAGAGTGAATAGGAAATGATTGACTTAGGACTACATTGACTTAGATAGACTAGATTAGTTCTGTTTTCTTATGATTAAACAAAAGAAGGGAATAAAAGGAACATCATGTTAAACTTAGCTAAAAATGATCTTATTATACCAAAATTCAATAATGCAAACAAAGAGAAAATTTAAGTAGAATATATAAATGACATATATATGTAATTGGTCTTTATCTTGTAACATGAGATACTTATAGTAAATAGATTTATATACCCTGAACCCTGTTTATTACAAATAATATTTTCTAATTAATATCTTAATTTTTCATAAGAGATTTAAGGAATGGAATCATTAATCTGATATATGTTTGTTGTCAAGTGTATTCGAGCTGCTCCTTTCACTTTGAGCAGATTTGGGCGAAGCTTAAGGCCAAAAAACTCAATAAAGGGTTATTTGCTTTGTGGGTTGTATGAAGGGTTTCGAATGCATAATAAAAGCTCGTTAACCGCAGAATTGTCTGACAGCTTGTCGCATATTTACATGGGAAGTGAGACGCGTCTCGGATGCCCTGTTGTAATTCAGAACTTGTAATTGTGGGCAAACAAACGCAGCAAATGCAATTTCAATTAAGCAGCTACAACAACATGGGAACACGACATCAAAGTAAAGAACGGGAGTGAGCGAGATGGCGCGATGGAGAGACTGATGTGCGGGGAAAAAAGTGAAATCGAATCCGTTAACATCACACGCTTTGTTAAGCAGTGTCCCCATACAGGAAAGATGCCACTCGAAACGCTTGTAAGGCTTCCCCCTCCCTACCTCCCTCCCTCCCTCCCTCCCTCGCTCCACCCGACAGGCAAACGCAACCGCAAGTGCGTAGCCTGTCAGAGGCTGTGTTGCCAGGCCATGCCTCGCTGTCTCGCTGTCTCGCTGTTTCGCTGCCTCGCTGAGTGCCGTGCTGCATGTAGCATGTAGCATGTAGCAAGTGGCAAGTGCAGCGTCAGGTGCACTGACATTGACGCGCACGGCTGCAGCAGCAGCAGCAGGAGCAGCAGCAGCAGGAAGGGACTTGCCACACAGCCAGCTGTTCCGCAGCGAACCTTGAGCCCAAAACAAACTCGTCTGCTTTTTGCTGAACGCCTGCTGGCCGACCGGCGCGTCTGCAAGGGCGTTCCCGAGTTGCATTTCGAGCCCCTTTCACTGTGCATTGTATGCGATTGTTTTTTACTTTACTCTCTCTCTCTCTCTCTTTTTCCTGTTTCTGTTTCTGTTTTTTTTTT